TGATTTCTTGGTTTTCAAAGAAACAAATTGTGTTGCATTATCTACCACTGAAGCGGAATACATTTCAGCCGGTAGTTGCTGTGCACAAGTTTTATGGATGAAACAACAACTTTTTGATTATGGAATTGAAGTAGGTACTATTCCTATCAAGTGTGACAATACTAGTGCTATTTGTCTCACTAAAAATCCCATCCAACACTCTAGAACTAAGCACATTGAAATAAGACATCACTTCATTAGAGACCATGTCACTAAGGAAGATGTAGTTCTAGAATTTGTTGATACTTTGCACCAATTAGCGGATATCTTTACAAAACCCTTAGACAAGGAAAGATTTTGGACATTAGGAGAGAATTAGGTTTGACCAATCTATCTTCACTTAGTGTTTAAAATAATTTTAGCACTTTTAATAAATCTTGAAAAATGCTTATATTTTTTGATTGCATTCTTGCTATTAGTTAGGGGGAGTTTGTGATTCTTAATGAAAATTAATTTTATGTTCAAAAATCAATTAAAGATTAATTTAATTATTTGAACATAATTAAAGTTTGATATATGAGTTGCCAATACCACTAGAAAAGATTAATTTAGCATTTTGTGCTTAAAAATTCGGATTTTAGCATTTTTGTGCAGAGGGAATCGATCCCCCCCTGAGGGAACCGATTCCCCCTTTGAAGGGGAACCGATTCCCCCCACAGGGGAATCGATACCCCCCTGGGGTTCTGCTAAAATCGGGCAGAATAACCTAAACTCTCCAAAAACCCTCTTCCTCTCTCTCTCCGCCGTTCTCACTCTCTAAACCCCTCAAATCTCCATTTTTGCCTCAAATCAACGATAATAATCGGATTTTGCTTCATAAATCATCTTCCAAACCTGTTGGAATCATTAAAATCGTGCAAACAACATCTAAATCCCCTCAATCTTCATATTTCAAGGTAAATTTTTCTAAACTCTTTATTTCATTATTTTTGAACATAGGATTAGTTTCAATTAGTTCTAGGTTGAAATAGTGATCGGGCATTGGTTATTTAGTGATTAGAAACTAGATGTTACAACTAATTTCATCAAAAACACAAGAATTTTACAAATTTTTTAAAATTTTCGAAATAAAAAAAAAAAATGTTATTTTTCAAATTATTGTGTTTTGATCAAATTATATTGTTATTATGAAAAACTATACATATATTGTTTCTCAAAACCATATTTTTCAAAAGTTTTTCAAAAACTTTGCCCATTAGAATTGTTTTAGAGAATCTTGAAATATTGAGGACTCATTTGAGTTTTGGGATTAATTGAATTGCATACACTTGTTTTAAAATTGCAGGTTATTATATCTATTCCGATTTTCTTCACCATGTCAAATCCTAAACGTCCTAGGTCTTCATCTAGTCGTTCTAGTCGTCACCAAATCCACCTCAAAATCCTCCTTCTATTCCAATTTCTAATCCCAATCCCACTGATCCTAACTTGACTATCCAAAATTCGTGTTTCAATCATCCTGGGTCTAGAAATCACCGATATTGGTATTATCAGTATTTCGATTCTTACAAATCTGGGAAGAACGTATTCCTTCTCGTCAAGCTATGTTAGCTATCAATTTTAAATATCTTCCCATTTTACAAGAATGGAAATTTGATAAACTATTTGATCTTGAACCCATCGTTACCATCAACTTGTTCGTATATTCTACTCTAATGCCGTATGTGTTAAAAACCAAGCTGAAACCGAAACCATAGGAATTCGTTCCTACCTTCTAGGACAATTCTTATATATTGACCCGGCATATATAGCCAATACTTTTGGATTAGATAATGATGGTATTCGAATGAAAAACAAATCTTAGGTTCTCGTTATAAAAGAAGGGATAGTGCGAGTGTCTTAGACCTACATGAGCGTTTTCTTCATCTAATGATTTCTTGGTGGTTTCGACCATCCGGAGGTCGTTATTCTACTCTTAGAGCTTTGGATCTTTGGTGGTTACATTGTTTTGAAAACCGTATTAAAATTAACCTACCTCAGATTATTTTTGCTGAAATTGTTGAAACCGTAAATCTTGTTCCTAACAAGAAACACTGTTCATCTCTAGTTTACGGTTGCTTTTTGAGTAATCTGTTTTCCAAAGCTGGGCTTAGAGTCGGTCTAGATGCCGTTTTTCCTCTTAAGAAACAAATAATCTTCTTTCCTTAACGAGAGCGGGATGGGTAAAGGACAAAGAAACCGTGAATGGGTTCGTTCTTCTACTCCGGGAGCTAGTTCTTCACAAGCTCCACCCGAAGCTGACGAAGATCCCGAGTTTGAACAATTAATGAGGGATATGATGAAGTTGAAGAAGAACCTGATCAGCCCGAAGAGCAGCCCGAGGAGCAAGCACAACAAACGCATCCAATGCCTCCATATTTTCAATCCTTTATGGAGACATTCGATTACCGATACGCTACCATGGACTCGCGTTTTTCCTCTATAGAGTCTCATTTATCCACAATGGGAGCTCAACAATTAGAGATTCTTCGGGAGATGCGTGCAAACAATGAATCAACCAACGCTCGTATCAATGAACTCACACACGAGATGGCCGCTATGCGAGCCCGTTTTCCTCCTACCGATCCGGATGCTTGATTTATGTTTAGCTTTAAAACTTTGAACAAATGAATATTGTTTCAACATTTTGATATGTTTGATTTTGTGGATTGTTGGATTTTGGATATATAAATGGTGTGAACTTATATGTTTGGTTTGTTTTATTCATTTTTGCATCATTTACATTATCATTAGCAATATGACCAATTTTGCCATATCACATTATTTATGAATATTGATTTATGAAACTAATGGCTAACCTCTCTTTTGATTATGATCTTAGCAGCTTAAGCTTATAATTAATAAATCAATTGTCTAAATGATTTACAAAACCTTGTTTTACAATGACTTTTTGATTTAACAAAAAGGGGGAGAAGAATAAGTGTTAAAATAAGGGGGAGTAATTTCTAATAATTTCTAATTTCAAAACTTGATTTCAAAAATCTTAAAATTACTAAAATGTTTTGTTATATCAAAAAGGGGGAGATTGTTGAAACATTTTAACATTTCGATATAACAAATTAAGTTAAATGGATTTTAAGATTTTCCAAATGATTTTCTAAGTATATTCGATATAACTATTCGAATATCAAAACATTACTCCAAATATTTCAAAAATCATTTTTGATCCTTACTTAAGTGTAAAATTAAGTTTTAATCATAAAACAATTTCAAATATTTTATAAAGTATTTCGAACCAATTCAAAGCCAAAAATTCCAGATTACTCAGAGGGAACCGATTCCCCCCATAGGAGGAACCGATTCCCCCTGAATGGTTTGGCTCCGAGATTTCCAGAATGCTCGGAGGGAACCGATTCCCCCCAAGGGGGTACCGATTCCCCCTGTTCAACGGTCGAAATATTTGAATTTTACACTTAGGGAACCGATTCCCTATGAGAGGAACCGATTCCCCCCACTGTCCAAGCTGTTTTATTAAATGTTTTCACACTAAAACGGCTATAATATCTTCTCTAATTATCCCCAACGTTCAGAAGTGATCCAAGTGTATTTAAGCAAGCTTAGAAGCCATTGATCAAAAACAAGAAACATCAAGCAACTAGAATCAAGAGAGAATCAAAGAGAAAGCATCAAACCTCAAGTTTGAGCATTCAAGCCCATTTTCATTCAATATTCATTTTGCTTTCAAGAACACTTTTTGTGCTCAATTGTATTCATCTTTGAGTGTTCTTTTCTTTGTTCTAGAATTGTGCAAACATCTTACCTTGTGAGGTTTTCTTGTAAGTTTGCAAATTTGTAATCTTCTCTTTGAGAAAAGAGTGTTCTCAAGAGTTGGGGTATACTCTTGAGGGAATTGTAAGGTTATCTCTTTGGCCTCAAAAGAAAGAACAAATTAGTGAATTTGTTGGAAAATCCTTAGTGTGGATAGCTAAGGTAGTGGACGTAGACTTTGTTTGAGAAAGTCGAACCACTGTAAATCGCTGTGCAATTGCTTTCAATTTTCTGCAAAAGCTTCCACAAAATTTTTATTGCCAATTCACCCCCCTCTTGGCCAATTTCGTCATTCGATTAACTCAACACGAACCCTGAACCCCGAACCCCGAACCCCGAACCCCGAACCCCGAACCCCGAACCCCGAACCCCGAACCCCGAACCCCGAACCCCGAACCCCGAACCCCGAACCCCGGACCCCGGACCCCGGACCCCGGACCCCGGACCCCGGACCCCGGACCCCGGACCCCGGACCCCGGACCCCGAACCCCGGACCCCGGACCCCGGACCCCGGACCCCGGGCCCCGAGCCCCGGACCCGAGCCCCGGGCCCCGAGCCCGAGCCCTAAACCCTAAACCCTAAACCCGAACCCAGAACCCTGAACCCTGAACCCTAAACCCAAGTAAATCCTAGTAAACCCTTATAAATCCTATCAAACCCTAGAAACCATAGCAAACCCCTATAAATCCTAAAAAACCCTAGGAAACCTTAGTAAACTCTAACAAACCCCTATAAATCCTAAAAAACCCTAGGAAACCTTAGTAAACTCTAACAAACCCTATTAAACCCTAACAACCCCTTAAAACCCTAGTAAATTCTTATAAACCCTAGTAAACCCTTATAAACCATTAAAAACTCTAGTAAACCATTGTAGACCCTCGTAAACCCTTATAAACTCTAAGAAAACCTTATAAACCCTAAACCCCAAAAAGTAAGCCCAACCAAAAAGCCCGCCCACCACCCTTTTATCTTCCTGCGCACTTGAAAGATTTAAGGGCAGCCCCAAGCCCACCCAAACTTGCTGCTGCCACAAAACATGGGCCGAACGCCTATATTTTATATTATTGGAAAACTAACGCAGAAGAACCGTAATTACAGTGCAATATTCCCTTTCTCTTCCACTCTCCAATCCCCAACTCTTATTTCCCATCAACTTCACACCGTTCCTTCTTCCAATTCTTCGACTCCTTTAACCATTTCCTTATCTTGGTATTCCTCCTTTTCTTCTATACCATACCCATCTTCTCGATTTTTCAGGAGATCCGATTTTTGTTGGTTTCGCAGTTTCTCTGCTTCTTCTTCTTCGCGGGTCATGTGGTGTTTCTGCTATAGCTTTGCAAATCCAGCAAGGGATTAATCCCATGGAGTGGTTATACCAGACTCTTGCAGACCCTCTCTTTCTTAATGAACTGGATATAGATGTCTTGACTGCCGAATCCTTATCCTGCAAAGAACTCGATTCTATTGATTCACTGTCCATTTGGCCCTCCTACCAGAATGTGCCCTTGGTCGAAGAGCGCTCGAGTTCTTTTCATGCTGGACAGGTAATTCGTTTTTTCCTTTGAATTTTATGTCAGTTTTTATGGATACCCAATTCGTTTCTCCTTCGGAATTTGTCAATGAAAGCCAAACCCATTAAACCTTGGTGTTTGATTACTGTCATTGTTTGATATTTCAAGAAATAATGTGCATACAAGAATGAGCATACAAGTGTTTTGTCTGTTCACTAGAATTGCGTTGCTAAATTCATGCATTGCAATTCTTCTGGGGCTCAAATTCTAGAATTCAGTCAGGTTTCTCATGGACTGAAAAAAATTCATGTTGTATGCAGTCAGTTACATTCTATTATTTGTTGTTTGCATGCTTTTTCAATCCACTTCGATATGTTGTTGTGGGACATTTAACTCACTACAAATTGGATATATCTGGAACTAAATATCCTGATTGTTGTTCGGGTTTGAATCTTTGGAATAAATCCGATAACTGGAAGCTTTTAACACCTATCAGTAGATCAAGTGATGAATCACTGTTATCTTATATTCTATTGAATCAATTGCAGCTTTTTACATTTCCCATCCTTAGATTCTTTCGATTTCAATTGCTTAATCATGGGATCTACTGGAGATTTTCGGTCGGGACATAATGGTGATTATATTCAGAAATCTTTTTGAATAATTTCAAAAATTGAAAGGAAAAAAAATTAGCAGTGGATGTGTAGTGGGCAAGCAAGCATTAGAGTTTAATGAAGATGCTTGTTTTTATGAAAAAAAAAGTAGGATCTGGTGAACTGTAGTGATCCTGGTTTCTTATACATAGATTAATAAAGCTTATGCTTTTAGCAGAAGATAAATCTCTATCATGATTCATGGTTCATATGGATAAAATTGCTTTAGCAATGACCTAAACTGGTATGTTACTTTACGTCGCTTCTCAAAAGTTTTTTGGGGTCATCCAACCTTGTTTAGTGTTTACATCTTCTAAATTGAAGTATGCTTAATCTAGTAGTATCATTTTATAACTTGAAAATTTCGTAGGCTGTTGCTTTTGTTTGGGTCTGAAATGTTCATTTACACTCTGCAGTACATTCAAGGTCTAGCTGCCCATGGAGTTCATTATTTACATCAGCCAGGGCCATCACTTCAGGATATTGGATACTTTCTTCTTCCAGTAAAAAACAAGATTCTTTAACTTTTGCTCTTTGCTTGTATCTATTATGTATTTATTATTTGGTGAAATGCAGTCTCATTTTTATTTTCTTATAAATTTAGGAGTTCGGGCAAGATAAAGCCTACATCAGTGAGACAGTGTTCTCCTTTGTTTTTTTATCATTTGTCTCGGTAAGGTTATTCTGCAGTTGGTTACCCCCCCCCACAAAAAAAAAATTCCATTACTTTATTCAGTTCTTACGTTTTTAATACATGATAATATCGTCCTTTTATTTCTGTTCTGTTAGAATCTTTCAATCCTCCAGTTCTCACTTCTGTTGTGCTATTTGCATTGTACTTTCTATCCTTTCATCTTCAAGATTAAAAAGATCTATACAGTTCTGGTTTGGTGCAGGGTGCTCGCGTATTTAGTTGTATCATTGCTTAGTGTTTTTTTATGAATGCACCTGATATAGGGCCTTGATCGGGGTTCTTCCTTCCATCATATTAGGCCAATTATTGCTACTGTGATTCAGTGAGAATCAACTGAAGCATAGGTGGTTTCTCCTATTACATATTACATGAATAATTGTCCTCGTTCTCTGTCTAGTAATTCACTCAGCTGAGCTCTTTTATTCTTAAATAGATTTCAATTTACAAAAAGGCCGATGATCTCTTTTATTCTTTTATTCGTAACCAAAGGTCTTGACTTCATCGATTATGCAGATACCCAGATGTCCAAACTTGTTGCTACTCAAGAATTCATTGCTTCTAGCTTTGTCACCTTCAAAACCAACCATTACAATTGCTGCTGCCCTCGTTGCTTCGTTTCATTCTACGCCTGTTACCTGTGAAAAATGGAAGAGCAAATGGAATTTTGTCGGTTCAATTTTCTTTCCTTTTTCCGCGGTTTATACAAAAATAAATATTCTCATCTGCTTAGTGCTGTCTGTGGGTGAGTTTGAATAGCTTTAAATAGGATTTTTGAAATTTCAAGTTCTTGAATAGCTTTAATTTGTGGCATAACGTCCTTTTCTCTGAATGCTAATGTAAAATAATGTTGTTAGTTTCTGCTATTTTCAACCTCTTGCCCCATATTGGCTGTTCTTGATTCTTATCAAACTAAGTCATCTTCTATGTGAATAAGTATTTCTCCCTTTTTCCCACTCTGGAGCACCATCAATTGCAACCTTTTTTTGTTTTGTTTTGTTTAGGAAATCGGATAAATTGTATATGCCTTGCATTGATGAGAAAACTTAGCAATTAAACCTATTTTTGCAGGATGAAAGAAGTAAACAACAAACAACTAAGGTATGCAGTTTTTTGGGCGTCTATTTTGTGTAATTAAGTGCATGCATCTTTTAATTATCTTCTTCCTAGTATATCATATATGAATGTCTTTAGATTGGTAATCGTTTCAGAACTTTTAGTAGACTAAATTCCAGGTCAAGTCTGTATGCTCGAGCTATACTATCCATTTCTAGATCTTTTCTTCAACCTCAATTGCCGAAACAGTTATCTTATATTTGGACCAGGAACATTCCTAGCAATCTTTAATGCAATAAACACCTTGTACATCTCAGGACAGGAATCGCCATGATTTATTTGAATGTTCATGTTGACCAGATGATGGACCTCATCTTCTAATGGCTTATTACTTTGCTATTTGTTAATTTCTTACTACCTAAGTAGCTTTGTTATGAACTCTTTTGTCGTCTTCTGGCAGTTTCCTTCCTACTTTATTTGTTCTTTCTTTTTTAAGAAAAGAAAAAGAGAGAAGCTCTCTGATATTTCAAACATTATTGCAGAACTACATAAAATATACAGTACATCAAAAGCGTGCTGACACAAAGACAGCTCTAAAACATCTTCTCCATAATAACGGTTGCTCAAAGGTTTCATTCCAGGTAAACATTTCTGGACTCCTGCTTGATGTAGAACCCTGTTCTTATTCAAGATTTGAACTTCAGTCTTCCTGATGTATTGTTTATATTATAGTTATTATTGTGTAGTTAGATTGTGATATAATTTATTGTTGGTTTTTATGCATTTTTGTTTAGAGCTGTCAAAACTTAACCCTAATCTGTAAACCTTCCCAGTTACTGGAATCTGAAGTTGACCTAACTTGATTTGACCATAGAAGTCAACAATCCAAATGAACCTAAAATAGCCTGATTCAGAGATGATTTTGACCTGAATGAACTAAAATTGTAACCTGCATTAAACTGATTTTACTTTAAAATTAAACAATTTGAACCCCAGACGACCTAAGCCTGAACTGAGCGGAACTGGATTTTCTTCCCTAACTGAAGTTACGTGACTCAAACCAAACCCAACTCTCCCGTTTGACACCTATAGTTTTACTCCAATTTTATTTGCTTATTCTAATCTATTAAGGAGTTTTTCAAATATTTTGGAAATAATGGACCAATGATTCAATTTTGGAAATATTTTGACACCCATAGTTTTACTCCAATTTTAGGTGCAAGCCTTGGAATTAGTTTTAGTGTCTTCATTATTGGCATTTCTTTCATTTATATTTTAATAAAAATTCTTAAGTTTATGGTTCATAGAATATTCCCATAAAGTGTGCATCTAGCGTTGAGGTATAGTAGAAGCTTTTGATTTAAGTTAGGCCTTTGAAAAACTGAGGTTGCAGTTGTTTTTGTGATGAGTGATGGTAAGTTGAATTTTTTTAAAATTCAATGGACTTAATAAGCATGTAAAGCTTGAATTTTTTTTATTTACCAAGAAACCGTTTGACTCAAACGTACATAAAGCCAGAATTTTATTTATTTACCTGGAAACCATTGGACTCAAATGATGTATATAAAACCTGAATGCCTTGTATCTTCTGTGTTACAGTGTACCAAAAGATTGAGCTTACATTTTTCATTAGTACCTGAAATTATAATATAAGTTATGCCTTTGCCTTTTATCCAGGATGAAGTTCCAAAATGGAAATTTGAGGGGACAGAAGGCCAGGATTCAGATGGTTCTGATAAGAAGCGGCGGTTAAGGTTTTCTGGACAACATGTTCAGAAATCTAACCACAAAAAATTTAAAAGTGAGATTCCTTCTTTTATTGTTTCTCGAAATGAAACTTGAAAAAATGCCTCCTTTATGGGAGAACTTACTTCTGCATTTGAAAACTTTATTGTCCTTGGTTACATGGCCCAGGAAAGTTAAAAAGAGAGAGTTTCTCTGAGGAATTTGATCATCCTGAGAGAATCTTCCAAGCTAAATTTGGGAACAAATGGTATACTTGGTCTTCTGGGGAAGGTCATTCTTTCAAGAATCCAGAATCTGGATTTGAGTGGCGAGAAAAATCAGGCTGGACAAATCAAAGAACGAGAGGGTGGGAGGGTGCTAGTGATGCCGAGTCTGATGAGGATGATGAGCCATATTCTGTAGGATCATGTTCTGATAGAGAAATCCTTGGTTTGCCTCGAACAGGCCCCTTAAAGATTGAAGATGTTAAGAACGCGTATGAACTCGATATTTGAGAGGCCTGTCATCTTGAAGATTAAACATTACGTATTTATGTTTCCCACTTATTCCAATTCTTTTTCATGCATGTATTCTAAAGTCATTAAAATTGTCGTTGCAGCTTCCGCATATCAGCTTTGAAGTGGCATCCTGATAAGCATCAAGGTCCTTTGCAGGTAGGCTAGAATTTCCAAAAAAGAAAATTATTGGCTGCTCATCCAAATCCAAACAATTTTTTTATGGATTTTAATCTATGGTTTTATCATATACATTTTTTTGGGTCTGTCATTGTGTGTGAATTTGTACTTAATTTAGTGGAGCTGTATGCAGGAGATGGGCGAAGAGAAATTTAAGCAGTGCGTGGATGCGTACAAATCACTATGCCATGCTCTATCCTAAGTCATGAGGTTGGTGGTGTTCTCTGATGCCGAGTGGTCTCAGAGAAGGATAGGCTAAGAAGAGGTTCATGATTAATTTATTTCTTCTTCAGAGAAGGATAGGCTAAGAAGAGGTGTATATCTTAATTTGTACTTTTTTATGTTCTCTCTTCAACACTGGAGAGTTTTAAAAGCATCTCATGTTTGAACAAACAAAGACATCTCAAATTATAAGACGTTTTGTTGTTGTTGGTATGACTAGGTACTTGATTTTTTTATTATTTAAATTAACACTTAAACTTAGGTTTTTTCAATTCAAATTGATTTTAAAAAGTGAATACTAAAAAGTCAAATTCATGTACTAATTGTTTTTTTTAAAGTAGGCACCAAAATAAACTTTAAAGCTAAGTGCAAGTATCTAATTGGAAAAAAACTTTTAAGTTTCAAACTGAACTTTAAAATTAAGCTTAGGTAACAAATCATAGATTTACCCTAAACACAAACCTATGAGTTAACTAAATGGATAAAGAGATCTGATCCCATCCCAGCTCTACTGGAACTATATACCCCCCATGAATGTGGGCTTAATTTTTATTACCAAAGCTCAAAGGAAACAAACCTGGTTTGCTCCAATGTCTCATGCATTCATTTCCAACAAGCTTATCCACACCTCAACCCATCCTCCCCACTTGTTTCCTCGGCTATCCACATCCAAACAAAACATCAAACCTCACACCCTCATCTCAACCATACATCCAATGGTTACGACCAACAGATTCAGCCCCGGTTTTATCACCAAAGTCGCCGATAACAACGCTGGCTTAGTCGGCGAAGATACACTTTCCCACCTCAAATCTCAACTCTTACAGCAACTCCAAGGTATAACCACGGCCACTTTCATCCCATTCTTTTTTAGCTTAGAATATTGAAAGTGGGTTGTTTTCTTTTGTGTATGTATTCCAAGGAATCAATAGAGGGATTTTCAGAGTAGCATCTTCTAAGAAATATGATATTGAAGCACTGGTGAAGTTGCTTGAATCCCATAATCCAACTCCGGATCCTACCCTGAATCTAGAAAAGGTGGAATCATATTTCTTTTTGTGGGAATAAACTGAAGGGTATGTAGTTACTGTTAGTTTTTGGCAAAAATTGGCCAAATCCCACATTGGAAATGAACAAAGGATGGAAAAATTCTTAGCCTATAAATAGAACATTTCCCTTTAGTTAAATGTATGTCAATCACCAAAATACAAGTGGTGTACTAGAAAGCTATTAGCTATACTAGTAGAGAATTTAAAGGGAAATTCTCTTGGGGTGTACTTTAGCTTTTGGGCATGTGTGAGAGTTAAATATTTTGTAGTGTGGTTGTAATAATTTTCCACATAGTAAATATTTTTTCTCTTGGTTGTCTTTTGACAACGCTTGTGGTTTTTCTCCATTTGGGAGTTTTCCACGTTAAATTATTGTGTTTTTCTCTCTTTTATTTTTCAAGTATTTTTTGTAAATGTTGTGATCTAAAGGGATTGTTGGATTATAAGGGGTCTATTTTCTCAACAATTGGTATCGGAGTCAATGGTTTGGTAAAAGATAAATTTCAAGGCGGGGTAAGAATTTCTTTAAAATTCTTAGTATGCTCTGTGGTTGCGGCTTTGTCCGATCTTCTACATCAGAAAAGATTTTTTAGAAATTGTTGTGGTCCAACTGGAGGTCCTTTAAATACGTTATTGTGTTTATTGAGTGTGGTATTGTGTAAGTAAGTGCAGCCAAGAAAGTTTTGTCACAAAGGCTATAATCGCCTAAGGTGGTTGGGACTTAAGCGGTACCATCTGTGTCCCCCCAATCTTTCCTGGAAACTTTCTTAGTGCATTTTGTAGACACAATTGTTCACTCATTATTTACGTGTGAGATCACTGGAGCATTGTTGAGCAAAAATGAGTTTCAGATTTGATATTGAGAAATTTGATGGGAGAATTAATTTTGGGTTGTGGCAAGTACAAGTCAAGGATATACTAATCCAGTCTGGATTGTATAAGGCCTTAAAGGGAAAGCCAGCTTCTTTGTCCGAAGGAAATGAACCAGATAAACCTAGTGACAACAGTGGAGACAAGGGAAAATCCAAGATGAGTGAAGAAGAATGGGAGGAGTTAGACATGAGAGCAGCAAGTCAGATTCGTCTCTGTCTAGCAAAAAATGTTCTTGCTAATGTTGCTAGATGGTCATCAACAAAGGAGCTTTGGGAAAAGCTTGAGGAAATGTACCAAGCTAAAAGTCTTTCAAATAGGTTATATTTGAAGGAGAAATTTCACAAATTGCAAATGGAAGAAGGTACAAAAATTTCTGACCACCTTAGTGCACTCAATGGGATTGTTTCTGAACTGGAATCTATTGGAGTGGTGATTGATGATGAAGATAAAGCATTGAGACTTATTTGGTCTCTTCCATCTTCCTATGAGCACATGCAACCCGTTTTAATGTACGGGAAAGAGAATGTGAATTTTTCAGAAGTGACAAGTAAGCTGATTTCGGAAGAAAGAAGGCTAAAAAATGGAGAGAACAAATCTTCTGAAAGTGGAGCATTGTCGGTTTGTGGAAATAGGAAGAAGTATAAAGGCTCCAAAAAGAAAATTATCTGTTGGGGATGTGGGCAACCTGGACATCTAAAGAAGGATTGCAAAAATGGTGGAGCTAATTCGGCTAATGGCTCCAAAAGTGATGCTACTAATGTAGTCGTCTTTGAAAATGAAGACGATGAATTTGTTTTTTAAAGTAAGATATATATCCTCATGGCATGATAGCTACCAATTGAGTTGCCATGGAAAAGGATGTATGAAAAGGTAGCATGTCCACATTTACACATGGGCATTGGTTGACAGTTGATGCAAGGTGTGTGGTGGAATTGATGTCGATGGCTAATGAACTTCCTAGAAAGTCAATATTGGAAGTTGCACCATAACTTATTAGCAGTTTTTCGACATGAACTGGTCGAGGTAAAAATTCTTGGAGTTAGTGAATTCCAAGTGTGTATACTCTTATGGTGGAGTATGACAATTCTTGTTTTTTAGAATTGCGACTATCATAGCTGATGGTGTTATTGAGGTAGCTGTTGTTTTTATGGTGAAGAATTGTATGAAATTTTTGCCAAGGTGGAGATTTGTTAGTTTTTGGCAAAAATTGGCCAAATCCCACATTGGAAATGAACAAAGGATGGAAAAATTCTTAGCCTATAAATAGAACATTTCCCTTTAGTTAAATGTATGTCAATCACCAAAATACAAGTGGTGTACTAGAAAGCTATTAGCTATATTAGTAGAGAATTTAAAGGGAAATTCTCTTGGGGTGTACTTTAGCTTTTGGGCATGTGTGAGAGTTAAATATTTTGTAGTGTGGTTGTAATAATTTTCCACATAGTAAATATTTTTTCTCTTGGTTGTCTTTTGACAACGCTTGTGGTTTTTCTCCATTTGGGAGTTTTCCACGTTAAATTATTGTGTTTTTCTCTCTTTTATTTTTCAAGTATTTTTTGTAAATGTTGTGATCTAAAGGGATTGTTGAATTACAAGGGGTCTATTTTCTCAACAGTTACAGTTTTGTTTCTATAAATGGAATGAAGGTAGGTGGTTGCTGGAAGCTTGTTTACAGTTCTATTACAATCTTGGGTTCACAGAGAACAATGCTTGGGTTGAGGGATTTCATCACCCTGGGAGAGTTTTTCCTGACCATTGATATTCAAAAGGTATTACTTGAGAAATTTCAGGAGTATTGTGTTTGTGTATATGAAACTGTGTTTGTAATGGGATTTGGGTTTTACTAACTTTTAGCATTTGGTGATGGGAAAATGGAGAGCAAAGCAGTTAACGTGATAAAATTCAATGCCAGAGGGTTGAAATTGTTGAATGGGAAGCTCACAATCGAAGCTTCCTTCGAGATTGCATCCAAATCAGTTAAACCCTTTCTTTCTTTCTTTCTTTCTTTCTTTCATGAATGCCACAAAATACAAAAAACCATGATCATGATGTTCTTGTTTGGAATTTTGCAGAGAGTGGATATATGTTATGATAATTCTACCATCACTCTTGATCAGGTAAGCTGAGGATATTTATTATACCAAGTGATGTAACATAGTTGATCCTAACTTGAAGCTTTGATTTGTTTGAGAAACCATAGCTGATGAACGTGTTTCGAAAAAATTACGATCTGCTGATTGGAATCTTCAATCCAGAGGGGTGGCTGGAGATAATGTATCCTTCTACCTAGTGCAGTTCATTAATATTGTAAAACTTGAGAGAGGTGGTTGTTCCTTGAGTTTGAAACTGCAGATATGTAGATGATACGATGAGGATAGGAAGAGATGACAAAGGGAACCTCTTCATTTTTCAAAGATCTGAACAAGACACAGTCTAGCTCTACACATCAATTTCTGATTTTATGTATCATCCCATCTATATACATAAGCATCAATGCAGTTGAAGTTGTTGATCTCTAGACTTCAGCTTTCCCAAGGAACATCGCTTGCTGATGATGGCTTAAGTTTCCAAGATCATCATCATCGACTTTGTTAGCCTTTGATTTTGTTGGAGTTTCTCATCTGATCGTGATTGTTGATTAATTAATCTTTTGATTCATTTTCCTAGGAAAAATTACTCTTGTTATTCTCATTATACAAATGATATTACTAATAATTTAGTTACAAACAGGTTATTATTTCTCTAAAAGTTACAATTTATTCCATGAACTAAAATAGGCAAAAACGTATCAAAGGTCAAAAAAACTAATATAGTCCTCGTATTTTTTTCCTTTCAATGTGGCCCTTCAACTCAGAAAACAAACTCAATGTGACTCTTTAATCAATGTTTTTCGTCGTTGATTGTTACGATGCTGATTTGACAGTTCACTATACTAGCATGACGGTCCACGGTGCTAGCATAACAATATATGGTGGTTGATAGCGTGATAGAAGACATGACAAATAGGTTAAATTGATAACTCAAACATGACAGATGGATTATAATGTTAGTACCGTGAACTGTCACGTCAGTATTGTAACAATCAACGATGAAAAATATTGATTAAATGTCACATTAAGTTTGTTTTATGAGTTGAAGGGTTACGTTAAGAAAAAAAATATGATGGTCACATTTTTTTCCAAAAGTACATGGACTCTTCCATTAAAATATTATCACGTTAAAATTGAAACAAAATATTTATATAATTTTAGTTCCAAAATTTATATATTCTATCATTTTGCCCCGAACTTTAATATTTGACGGATAGCAATGTTCAATTTTAATACAAGTTCAAATAATAATATTCAAATGGTTTGCAGATAAAAAGTAGATTAAAAAACTTTGATAAATTTATAAATTTGAATTCAAATAATTCAAAATTTACAGATATTTCGACCCATTACCATTTCTATATTCAACCATACAATACACTTACAATGTGGAACGTGCTGTCATTAAATAACAGTCACTCAGGCCTGGCATACCCATCTTTCAATCATTGGCTTCAATGTCCATAACAATAATTAATCATAACTAAGCTGACATAATTCTCATTCTAACGCATGCATTAAAACAAACCACGTTCTTCACAATTAGGAGAAACCTCAAACCCTAAAAAGCAAACCCGTAACCAAAAAACCCGCCCACCACCCTTATTCTCTTCCTGCATCAACCATTGAGTTTCTTATTTCCACAACGATGTGGGATTATGCTCAACGCCTGATCAAACCATCATCGAAAAACAAACGTTCTAAGCCTCCTCAGTGTCAAAGCTCTGATGTTCGTGTCTTATTGCGTTCTGTTTTAAATACCGTTTTGTTTATGCTTTCCCCCTAGATGTGCGATTTTGTTCTACGGAGTGAGACTTCTTCACCCATTGCTCATCTTGCAACCCCCAAACTCGGAGGACTTTTTCTCCTTTGCCTTGTTAAATTTCTTCATTCCCCGACTTTTCCAAGTCTTTTTCTTCTTTTCTCTCAAATTTCCAAGATATTTGAGTGAAATGCAAAGCAATATCGAAGCATGAAAGAAGATTACGAGTTACTCCTACTTGTTTCAATCTCTCTTTTACGTTTAATTTTGTAATTATTAGTGAAAGCATTAGTTGTTTCGACCCCTGGTTGAAATCTCTTACTTTCATGATATCAAACCATAATCCTTAACAAATTCCCTATTTTTACTTATTTTCGATTGAATAAAAACAACATCTAACCAGAGTTTGGTACCCTCTCTTTTACGTTTAATTTTGGGTTGGATTCTTTGTATTTTACTTGCTTTATCATTACCTTCGAAGCTACCTTGTCACTGCCAAAAACGGCTGTAAATCAATTCTTTGGAGAAGTTACATTGTTTACGGGGTGAGGTAACTGTTTATGTTGAATTTTTTTTTTGCCTTCTTGTCTTTCAGTTTTAGCTTTCAAAGTTTTCCCATTTCTGAAATGCTGCACTGCTTTCCCATCTTTGAAAAAAATGGAAAATTTGAACTCTTTGCTCGGCCTTTTGTTTTGTGTGTTTATGTCCTTTTGTACTGTTTGTAACTGTTGGAAGAAAAGCTGAATGCTTTGTGTTTGGTGTCGAAGTTAAACTGAAGAATCTGGGGTTATTTACTTCTGGTTCTTCTCTTGGGTTTTATCTCTGTTTTTGAGGTTTCACATTCTTCTATATATTACCTATAGATTACTGTGTTGAGTTGATTTAATGCGTTGCATGTCCTCCTCTTTGAATGTCGTTTGTTTTAGACCTATTTCCCAATCTGGGTTTATCTCATTTTCTGTTTTTCTTTTTCTTTGAATCAAGTCCTTTTCAGTTTGAAACAAAAGGGTTTCCGTTTTCATGAGAATTCTATGATTTTTTTTCTTCATTTTGTAGATTTTAATTATTAATGTTTTCATGAAAAAGAGACTGGTGTTTTTTTTTTGGTCAAATGAATTGTTATTTAGACATGCGAATCTAGTGTATAGACTACTTGCAAAATGGGATTAGTTCCAGGTGACATGTAACACCCCCAACCCGTATCCGACCCGGATACTAGTCCGAGGTATCACATTATTTTTTTAAACACTTTTCTTACCAAAATCATAACATTTGAACTTATATTAAGAAAATATGATTATATACATATATTAATACACTTTACCAAAATACTCAGAGCATACACAACTTAACCCTTTAGTTACATGCCAACATCCATTTACATAACAAAATGACCTACTGATTAAGTTGCTTCTGATATGATAGTTGCAGGAGTAAGGTTGTCCAGCCGCTTAACCTCGATCGTCTACTTTATCGGATCCTACGTGTGAAACACTCACACGCTAAGTCATCGACTTAGTGAGACAATATAATAATAATGATAACAAAGAAATGTAATGGAGATGCTATAATTAAATGGAATGATATGAAAATCAAATACTTAACCATGCAATTTATATTATCATGTTCTTTACCTGTCATCATAATATCTTGACATTCATGAATTTATATTAATAAGATTGTTTGCCCATGATACCATACTGAGAACCTAAGGTATGTGAGTACTGTGAGGTTGTGCACTATGTTGTCACCACAACTCGTATAAATGCACCGAAGTGCCACGTAGAATTGCACCGTAGTGCCGCATAGAAATGCACCGAAGTGCCATATAAAGTTGTCCCTAAGGACTACATATCATTCCTTAAGAATCATATACATATGCCAAAGATCAAGTATGTGTCTTAACAGACCTCACACCTATTCCAAAGAATACATATATGTCCCGAAGGACCACATATCATTCCTTAAGAATCATATACATATGCCAAAGATCAAGTATGTGTCTCAACAGACCTCACACATGTTCCAAAGAATACATATATGTCCCGAAGGACCACATATCATTCCTTAAGAATCATATACATATGCCAAAGATCAAGTATGTTTCTCAACAGACCTCACACCTGTTCCAAAGAATACATATATGTCCCGAAGGACCACATAGACCCTCTACCCTTGGCATGCCAACTATACCTATAGTTCTCATCTACATAACATGGGCTTTCACCATTCACATAATTTATATCGCATAGGCATATTATTTTCATACATTTATCACATAACTCATATAACTTTTCTTGCATATTCAGGTCACATAATGCATATGGTATGAGTTCATGTCAAGTATCATAATATGAACTGCGATCATGTATCAAAATATTGAATCTAGACTTATCACAAGTCTAGAACTGAATAGAATTTATATTTATGCTATGCATATGCACTCACCTAGATTTCTTTGTCTTTCCCTCGATTGATCCTACTGGTCGATGGTTCCAGAACTCGTTTAGGCTCGGTATCTATATAGTAATTCATTGATACTTATGAGTATACTAGTTAGTATATTCTAAGCTATCATTCTTAGGCTAAAAGAAAAGTCATTTTCATCTTTTAATGGAGGTATGCATCGATGCATAAATCCTATTCGATGTTTGTATTTAATGGGGTGCATCGATGCACTCCTTATGCATCGATGGCATTCGATGTTTTCTTTTTAAATTAATGCATCGATGCACTTCATGTGCATCGATGCACCTTAAACAATTTCTGGGATTTATCATTGATGCATTGGTGCACAATGAATGTGCATCGATGCACATTGCCCAGAATTGTCATTTTAGCACAGAAATCTCTTCTTAGTCTACTTAACACTTTATATTACCCCTCTTTTTATATCCTTAACTTACATACTCTTACTTAAACTACTTATTATTCATTCCATACTTTCAAAACTTAGAAATCCGATTCTCCATGTAGAGTTTAAGAATCTAACCCAAATTCCAACATGTTCTAATTTGAATTCTAACACTTCATACCTCTTAGTTAGCTTAATGACAAGTCAAATTCCACTTCTAATTCTTATTAAGAACCCTATTCCAAAATTTCACTTTTCTACTTCCTTTCTTTAATTCTTCATACACTCCTCATCTTATGGTTTTAAGATAATCTAAGCTTTCCTTAAGCTTAGTTATCAACTAAGGATCAATAAGAAACCTTAAATTCATCAAGAATTTGATCACAAGAAAACTCACCTTTAGCTTGGCTTCATGGCAGAGAAGGAGAAGAAAGAAGAAAGAAATATCCAGAACTTTGTTTCTCTCATAAGTTTACCACATGGATTTAAATATCCTAAAAAAACATTTAATTTATTTCCTTGCCAAAAGACCTATTTGCCCCTTTAGTTCCCCATGCTTTGCTAATTGATCCTACACCAAATATTTCAATCAATTCCTTCAACTTTCAATTTATCTACTTTGATCAATAACTTTTAAAATTTCATAATTTAATCACTGACCCGGTATAGAGGATGTTACATGACATCCAGGTGGGGCCTTTGAATGTTGAGAAATCGAAAGGAAAAAAGAAGAAAGATGGTGAAGATGGTGGTGAGTTTGGGTGTTGGTTTAAGTTTAGGTTTATGGGGAACTACTTCTTTGTTTATATGGATTCATTATTTGTTAATACATATCTTAATACAAAAGCTGGTTCACTTTCCCTCCCTCTGTCATTGCTTTCCATTGAATCAATGTTTTGAATTTACAGCTGTTGATACCACAGTGACCAAGGCTCGTACTTCATTTGAAGGTTGTTCCAAGTCGTCATTGCCAGGTAAAAGGGCGAGCCTGATGAAAGCGTTTGGGGATTTCACTGAATCTGATACGGATATCTCATTCGTAAGCTCGATTTCCCTGCTTAATCCAGTATAAAAGATTTATTTAGTGATTTTACTTTGTTAGGATTATTTATTTTTTCTTTTCTTTTACTTCAACTTTATTGTGAACTAAAATTCAATGCAATTCATAGACACAAGTGCAACGTTCGCTTAAGGTTATTGTTGAAAAGGAGAATGTTTGCAGAGTATTTTTATTCATGCAGCTTTCTTACATTTACCCTTCAGTTTTGTTTGAGAGAAATCGAGCCAAGTTTGAAACATGCTTGATTTGGAATAAGAAACAAGCCTGAGAAGTACATGTTTTGGTAGTTTTATTGTTCTCTGCTACAATTTTTTCTTTCAGTATTCTGGTTGTAAAGTATCTTTCAAATTTGATTTTCCAGAAGCTGATTTTGGTGGAAACAATGAACTTTTCATTTTCACGGTCCAATCAGTAGGCAATGACAGAACCACCTCTTCCTGTACCAGAAGAGGTGGCAGAGTCTACTTCTGTTTCTAATTTCGTGACATCTTTGGATGGACTTATAGCTGAAGATCAATTCCCAGAGTACCCTGCAGTTGAAAACCAATGAATATGTAGGTGAGAATGCTGGTGTTGGGAGTGATAAGAAACACACTGTCCTGGAGAATCACATTGATGTTTCTGAAGAAGATGGATGGATCACTATTCCATATACTAAGTGCATAGTAATCTAAACAATACTTACCTATGGTTCTCGTAGTTTATTAGTCTCTACTTATGACTTCAATGATTGGCTTTTGCTCATTTTCTTTTCATTTTTTCTCCCTTTCCTTACTCCTTTGAAAATGTTCAATTTGTAAAATATGTACTTGTTTTGAGCGTATTACCCCATACCATGTGTTGGACCAGTATGCATTTAAATCCAAACATTCAAGGTTGTGTAGGAGGGCAGTGGCCTGATGTTTGTTTTTATCACTAATGTGCAACTTCTGTAAACTAGAGTGGTTGGAAAGGTAAATGTCCTGGTTACTGGAATATAGAAGTTAAATGATCAGTTTTGCTGGAATTATGTTATATATACTCCGACTTGATTAGAATTTCCTGACATGGTTTGTTTACTAATTATATCTTCCTGAAGTTCCTATTTTGGTTTTGTTGATCTATTTCATGAATAAGATAACAAATCAGTAAGACTTAAAAAATTGTAAAATCATTTCTACTTTGAATTATTAATAAACAGTACTATCATAAAAATTAAAGTTGAGAGACGTAAATGTGTTGGAGAAGTCCAATAATTGATTTGTTATCTTATTGTAGTATTGAGGAATTTGACAAATCCAATGCCATAATCTTCTGATTGCTTGAGCTGGATTGTAGCAGAGCATTGTTGTATGCTTGGGAAGCTTATATAGGAACGTTATAAGGATCTCAAGGCCGACCCATGCTCCATCCTTTATGTAATAGTATCTTTGTATAATATGATGGTTGAATAATATTGGATTTTGGCTGTTTACTGTCAAGATTTTTCTTCTAGTACCTGTATCTGGGCATGGGTGTCAAACACATTCTTGGACATAGGTAAACTCTCACGATAAGTCTAGTGCTATCGAGGTACTTTTACAATGACTAAATCCGTGAAAAGACTTCAGAATAATTGAAAATACCCATGTTGATTTTTTTCTTTCTTTTTTAAAAAAGATTTCTGGATCAATGTTGAGATTTCCCCCCAAAAGAAAGATGGAGCAATAGAAAGAAGCCGCGCGTCCGGCTCTTTTAAAGGTAAATCAAGATATAATCATAATATGTATTGCTTAAGTGGTGTCGTGTTGTCCGTCCATGTTACTCGGATGTATGTGTTATTCATCCAACATGGGCATATTCAATTACTCTGAAGCCTTTTCATGTATTTAGAGAGTCCTTGTAAGCGTGATCGTCTATGTCGAGCACAGTTACTACACTAAAGGGATGGAGCAACATAGGATATAGTGACATGAAAAGGTTTACGCTCTTTGCAGATTTGAGAAGACATCAATGAGAAGGGTCAATTTCACCCAAGTCATTCTAAAAAAGAAGAAGATGATGAACCTCCCTGAAATGCTCCAGCACCGGTAAATGACGTCGCGGAAGGTGGAATTGATTCGATTGTTTTCTCCCTGTGCTTGTTGTATATGTGTAGGATTTTTTGTTTGATTGCTAGGTTTGTAATATATAAATCTTTTGTACTGAAACTTTGTTTCCTTTTAACATTCTTTAAAATCACTACATATAATAAATATTTCCATCCAGACTAACATTATAAATACATCTTCAACAGTAACCCTTATCAAATAATAAATTACAAAATTATTACTGTAGTCTCAATTACAAATTTTTTATTAAAAAATATGGGATTTTAATTAAAGGAAGATGTGTTTACAGAGCAAAAGCCAACCTGAATTAATTCCATGTCGTTGGCTCCACATTTCGAGGAGAAAAGCTTCCTCACTTTTAGGTTTTAGATAATCATCCAAGTCCAACTCCATCGTCTTCTTATTTGGAGCAGAGATTTGGCTTTGGTAATTTCCACCTCTGAATCCCGCTACAGAATTTGAAGGACGGCAATCGCTAAATTCTGGGCTCCATCTCCCTCGCCTGCTGCTCGTCAATTGATCGCTTAGATCTTGTGCACTAGTCACTTCCTATTTCATGTCAATGCAGTAAATATATGTACACACAAAATCAGCTCAACTCTGCATTTCTCAGTTAGGAAGTAAACATGGCAATGTGACTCGAACTCAGATATCAAATTCAAGTATCCATTACTCGTATAAATAAAATGAATTGTAATAATAAATTTGAATATCCGACACTATTTGAACGAAAGAAAAGGTCATCTATGAATCGGCTCAGAATAACAAATCTAGTATCCAAATTACAAAATTATCAGAATCTGCAAAAACAAATCGAATAGTGTTGGATATTCAACTTTTTACTATCAACTACCATCCCCCAAGTAGGGAATAAGATTACCTGAGAAAGATTGCGTTTATTCTCACAAGAAAAGGGAGAAACATCGCTAGAAGTCTCCCACTGTAACCAAGGCAGCATTATACCATCCATTTCAACAGGGACAGATTTAAACACTGCTGGATTCTGGAAAATTGGTGTCATTGTTATTCCCCCCATACTTGAACTAGTAGTATCACTCCTGTCTCCATCCAAAGATGAAATATCCGTGTCTTCAACATTCGAAACGAAATCTTCAATATACTTTTCAGCCTCCTCGGTTAATTGCCGAGACATTCTATATCTTTCATTGCTCCTCTGGAAAACATTTCAAATGATGATTTAACAATAAAAAGAAAGATTCAATCACCTTTCTTACAAAGAATGTCAGAATCTAATGGATTTTAACAAAGAAATGGCATGGACTCGAAAATAACCGTATAGAGTATAAAGTCAGCAGTATTGCAGTGAGTGTAGAAGGAAGTTGTACCTTTCGGGCTTGTAACGGTTTCTCAACAATCGTGTTCTTTGGTTCAGGAAGCAATTCCTTGACAATTTTAGAGATCTCTCTACCATGCTGCTCCTCCAATAGAATCTTAGCTAATAAATCTTGTTTACGCTTCTCAGACTGCACAATCAAAAAATAAAAACCAATCACTAATGTTTTCAAGTATGAAGTGCAGAGATTAATTAAGGAAATAAATAACATCAAAGATTTAAAATATCATTTAATGTTATATTAATAATCTTCTACTACTCTAGCATAAACCATAAACAGAAAAACCATGTTAATATGAATGAAAAGTACCAAGAAAAGTTACTTTTCTCATCAAAAGCAACTAAAATGTAAGCTTATTTTTGGTTTCCAATATAAAGTAAAAATCCAGAAGAAGTGTTGGTTCAGGTTTATCGTAAACAAATAGTATTAAGTCAGAACCAATGATACCTGGAACATAGATTGGTCCAGCACGGGCAACCAAAACTGGAACAATTTGTTACTTCTATATAACATTTAATTCGATAGTGATAGTCTTCTCCGGTTTGTTTAGTAGGAACTAAATACAATTTATTGAAACATAATAATATTTTTTGTTTATATAAACATATACTATAAAGTTTGTGAAATACTTTACTCAATAATGTTATCATAAATAAACTATATGTTGGTGTAATTCCCAAAAGGAACGTGTGTACCAATAAAAAATTGTTGGGGAAATAGTGATTTCTGGTGATAAAGTTTGTTGCATAGATAGTTTAAGCCAATGCACACACTAGTATTTATGAACTCATTCAAACACTTCTGTAAGTATGCAGTACCAATAAACCATAATCGTCACATAAATGGAAAATATTGCACCACAGAATGTTGATTTGTACCTTCTCCAATTTTGTTGTACACTTCCTTCTAGTTGCAGAAACAGCCTGATTTACATCAGAATTGTCAGGCCACAAGCTATCACTGCTTGCTATGCCAGGCTTCTTTGTTTTAACCATTGACTGCATAAACCAAGATACCATCCAGGTATTTTAGCAAACAAAATTTGTGAAGCAAATTATGCTCATGTAGGAGCAAATAAAGCATTAAACATGACCACCCAAAGAAAAATACACACTTGTTCAAGTTGTGTCTTGATCTCTTCCAAAGCATGTCTAAGCTCTTCTCGCATTGCACAATATAACACACCATTCACATCATCCCCGATGGGGTGCTCCCCCTAGCACGCAGGAAACATAAAAGTGAAATTTTTAGCAAAACATTTTCTAGTGGTTATTACATAATTGTGATTTTTTAAAAGATTGGAGCAACCTTTTTCTGTGCATATACCGCTTTTATTGTCCTCTCCATCCCATTTTTATTGGAAAGAGCAGCATCCCTCCCTTCATCATCAGTTATAACAGAAGAGTGGCTCTGATTTAATATACGTAAAAAAAATTCATTAAGCAAGCAAAATAAATTTTACATAAATGAGTTTGAACTTTGAAATATTCTAAAAGATATCTAGGTACAGTGAGGATTAACACAACCACTAAATAGCATCCTTATATAAAAATTCCACTAACCTAACTGGTGAAAGTAAAAGTTAGAATGATATTTTTTTCAAAGTGATAGATAATACTTACAGAATAGCCATCGTGATACTTTAAGTCTTTTTGGCTGAGAGATCTTCTTAGGCGTTGCCTATTATTTGAAGCTGTTGGCTTATGAGCGGAGGATGTCTGATTGTTTCCAACAATAGAACTCTTCATACTAGCACGGTTGCTTGAGTTCGGTAAATGTTCTAGATCACTCTACCAATTTAGGGAACAACGAATGCATACACGTCAACAAATTAGTATTCTTATTATTATTCCTAGTAGAATGAAAAACTAATAGGATTCATTAAAGCCAACCTCATCATTCAAGTTGACCAAGTGCAGCAGTACATTACTATCTATCATCAATGATACTCCACCTTTAATATTACTACAAGAAAATAAACATATTTGACATGCAAAATTTCTAAAGTTCCTCATTCACTTTCAACAAATGCAACACAGATGTACCAAAACTGATAAAAGATTACCTGCTATTCAAGTATAGAAAATGTACTATTCAATTATAGAAAAAAAATTTGTCATCTGAATCAAGAACAATTATACTACGTTATTCAGACTCGGATGTGTGTCTAATATGGGTACGAAAATGTGTTCGACATGGGAGTCAAATACTACAAGAAAAATGAAGAGTCACGGCAACATTGCATCCATAAAACAAATGTCACTGAAAGAGCTTACAATTCTAAATTTGGAACATAAACTTAGAATGATACTTGCAATTCCATAAAGAGCTTGATAGTTTTGAATAATTTAAAAGTGAAATCAGAAGTACTTGTCAAATACTCCCATATTTTTCTCATTTTGGCCAATTTATTTAAACTTTCATCGAAGCAATGCCATATGATAAAAGGTCTAATTGGCTTGTCCGCCTAAATTTGATCTTTGAGTCCAAATTAAGCAAACGTCAAGCACAAACAAGCAAGCAGATAGTTAAATCCAGTTAGTTTAACCAAATTTATACACCTAAACTAGAACACTAAGCAATTACACAACCAATCAATCTGATATGACTAAAGAACTCATCTAAACAATGAGCTCATGCATAAGAACAAAAACAGTAATGGAGAAAATGATGATGATAGCAATATTACCTTAGAATCTCTAATCTGATACGGAACAACCGAAACCGATCTTCTCTTCCTGGAGCTAGCGGTGTCCGAAGTTAGCCTTCCTTCAGCACCACTATTTACAGCACTGCCTCTCGATCCTTGCCTAGACACCGACCGTCCTCTCGTCTGAGTCACATTCTGTCCTCGTCCTCCTCCTATACCTTTGTGTGGTGTGACGTCATCAATCCGGGAATCCGAACGTCCTCGGAGTGAGGAGTCAAAGAGCTCGATAGCAAGATCATCAAGACTAATCTCCGGGAATTCCGTTCCCCTTACGGTAGTAACGAACCTCCCCTTGTTCCTCGGAGACGGAGTAGGCTCATCGTCATCGTCACCGAAACCGGGAAGCCGGCGGGAGAATCTGCTGAGACTCCTGGCGCGGCGGTGGACGGAGGAGGAGGAGGAGGAGGAGCGGTTGGAGGAAGAAGAGTCACCGGGAGTGTTGGCGACGGAGGCTCTCTTAGTTGTTGACTTGAAAGCTGAAGTTGCCATTGAGAACAAAACCAGAGAGAGAGAGGAGTGATTGGTCGGGGGAATTTATTAGGGATTTAGAGAGGAAATCTTGCGATTTTGGGGCATTTAATTTTTGAATCCATCGAATCTAAAACGTAAGGAAATACAGCTCAACCAGGAAGACAACGAAGAATACAGAAAAATTTTGAAAATAATGAAGAAGATTGGCGGAGTGGTCGAAATTTTGACCAAATTTGAAATTTGGAGATTAAATAGGAAAATAAAAATCGATATTTACCTTTATTTTTTATATTTTAGATATTTCGTATGGATTCAAATATATATATTTATAAACTGTTATTTAATTTGGATAAATAAATTATTGAATAAAGTATTTCACATATTAGTCATAATTTGTTTATAGATACATTTAAATATAGATGTTTATATATATATTTCATACGTCAATTTTTAATAAAAAATTTTGGAATTTAATTCGACTAATATTTATAAATTTATAAAATTATATTTGTTTTTTATTATCCTAATTTGAATTATTTGAAATTGGAAAATCTATTGTTCAAGAGTCGGGGCTCAGTTTATAGGTCTACCTGTAAAATGAGACTTCACTATTACGGGACCAAAGGGTTTAAAGATTTGGACTTAACTCGCCTACTTCCCATGCATTATTTTTATCACACGTCTCATTCAAATAAGTTGTTATCCATTTATCAAAGGCTTTTAAGCATGGGACACCATCCACATTTTCACATGATGTTCATTATCTCCACCTTTTTCATTTATAATTATTTAATATTATATTGATTAATAATTTATACATATTATATTTTATCTCACCTATTAAATGAGTAAAAGAAAATATTTCTTTTAAAAAAAACTTATTTGAAAAAATCACACAATGAATTATAAACAATTTATACATAAATCTTATTAAATATAAGTTTGATCCTTTTATGTATATAGTTTTTAATTATTTTATTTTAAAATATACAAAACATATAAATATTATAATATCATTATACAATATTTGTTATACAAATTGTTAATCCGAGAATAAAAAATAATATTCAAATATTATTATAAAAATAAAAAATAATAAACGATTTTACATGTCTTAGGATTATTAGAAGTATAACAATCCGAAATATAATCACACCTAAGATAATAAAACAAACGAAATTAAATTTCTTAAATAATATTAAAATGATATAAAAAGAAATACTCTATGTGATAGATCAATTAATTGGAAATGAGTTGATGTCCATCGCTACAAGGTTTTCTTAATACACATTTTCAGTCACTCCTTGGTGCCTGAGATTGTCAGTCATCACATCACCAAAAATTATCACGAACCATAATCTTGCATTTATCTATCATCGAAAAACTAGAGAAGAAAAGCTTAAAAGCTTGTAAACTTGTTGAAACTTGTCAACTTATAAAATTGTTAAACTTTTGAAACTTTATTTATAGGAGATTTTCAAAGGAAAAAAATTAAGGTAAATCAATAATTCTGAAACTACAATATCGTATTTTGCTCGAATATAAATTAGTAATAATATATTCATATTTTAATTGAATATAAATTCATAAATAATATATTTTTATTTAATCAAATATAAATTTATAAATAATATATTCATATTTCAATAGAATATAAATTCGTAAATAACATATTTGAATTTCAATTGAATATAAATCCTTAAATAATATAACATTATCCTATTAATATTCAAATTTTAAAGAATCCATATGGTATCCTTTTGATTCAGTATATTTAAACAGATATATCAAATTTAAGCAAAATTTAATTACCAAATTTATCAATGAATTTAACACATTTTTCCAAAGATACTAATTATTGATAGACACAATTCCGTTGCGCTTACTCTTTTCTCCCATTATTCAGGATACCATAGGTGCAATTACTTTGCATTTGACGGTCACCACAAGTTCTTTAAGTCAAGGATTGTGGTGGTAATTTTCTTCGGTTAATTCTCTGTTATTTTTTTCTCTAGTTAATTGTTGTTCAATTTTATTAATTTTCAGTTGTATTTTAAAGTATTTATAATAATATTTTTATGGGTGTTTTTTGGTAAAGTGTATCATGGCTACCCTTACTTTTGAGTTCCTGGTGTTTCTTATATTTGTCTTTTTCATGGTTTGTGGTTATATGAGCTTTCTTGGTTACTTGTTTTCTCGATGTTTGGTTTCTTAGTTTGTTTGTATATGACATTTTGTTAGTTTTCAGATATATGTGTTGAATGTTACTGCAATTATTGTTCACTTTAAATATTTTTCAAGTGTTCTTTTTCTATGTCTAGTGTTCGAAAACGTCGGAGTGATTCATTGCTTCAACTGTTCATGCTCTTGCTCATTATGCTGTCATTGGTTGCTCATTGTTATATTTTTAGAATTTTGCTGCAGGTTCTAATGTGAGCTAGAGTATTAATAGACTTCTAAAATTGCGTTCTACTGCTCTCAGCATCTTCTCCTCTTCAAGTTCTCTTAGGCTAAGAGATATTTGGGAATCAATTCGAATCAAAAGGGAGAAAGTTCCTTGGCAGAATCTAATTTGGTTTCCCATGCATATTCTTAAATTCAGTTTGATTGCTTGGATGTCTTTGTTAAACAGATTACCAACTAGAGACCGGCTCCTCAAAATGGGAATTTCAACTGAAGGGACCTGTGTTAACTGCAGAGATGAACAGGAAACAAGAAATCATATTTTCTGTCAATGCACTATGGCAGTTCGTCTTTGGTGCTCTGTCCTATCGCTTAATGGCTTGAAGAATACATCATCTATATGGGAAGAAATGGTTAATCGGGCTTCTTCAACTTGGAAAGGGAAATCCTTACTCATCACAATCCTGAAGATATATTGGACAGCCTATATTTACACATTGTGGGAAATCACAAAATTTTCCAAGGTCGCCACGGATCTACTGATGAATTGCTCAATGTTATTATTGAAGTGTGCGTATCCAACTTAAGGATAAAAATATTAATAGAGCTAGTAGATTTAACTCTAAACTTTGTATTGCATGGGGTATTACTTAACCAATCTTTATCTTTGTAAACAGGTTGTGTATAATCCTTTTGTATTGATTGGTTGATCGTGTTTTGTAGCAGAACTCTGCTCTTTGAATAATAAAAATTTGATCTATCCAAAAAAAAATCTAGTATGTATATAGCAAGACGTTGTTGTTGACATTTTATTTGACTAATGAATATAACACAATCTTACTTTCAAAAAAAATTATTAATTATTATTTAAATGAAAGATTATTTTATTAGAAATAACACTAATATAAAACAAAAACATTAGTAACGATGATAAAACAAAAATACACCTTTAAAGGTTTTTTTAACATATTTTAAAGAATTTCCACGTTTCCAGGGATGTACTTATGGGTATTGGCCCCAAACTTTTTGGTACAATGCCATTCTTAATCTTTATTAATTTAAAATTTATTTAATTTAAATGTTGTCTTTTAATTTTTAAATTTATATATTAAATAAGCTCCCAATTATTTAAAATTATGTAATTTAATTCTTACACCGTCCTTCGTTTTATGACATGGTATATGTAAATACATTCTTTTAACATGTCCACGTATTTTTTTACATGTAATAATCGTATTATATATGATATATAAAATATTAATAATTACTTTTACATAAATCTTTAGATCGTGTTAATATTAATCTTTATATATGATTTAGTTCTACGGTCATAGTATGCCATTAACAAAATATATGTGTTCTCGTAGTTGTACTAAAAGGAAATGAAGTAAAATAAAACTTTGGGTTTTGTCAAGAGCTTAATTGTCAACTATGAGGGCAAGTGTAACGTATAAAAATGTGTTAAATACGATTATATTTAAAAAATAGAGTATGTATTATCATAATTGAATATGAATATGAATATCAATATTTTAGAAAGAATAAAAAGTTTGATTACTTATAATTATTTTAAAAAGAAATTCATGTATATAGAGAGTTATACACTCGCATACTCTACACATAAAAAGAAAATAAAGAGTGGGAATAACAGTGCAACTTGATTCATAGACTATTTAATGGAGATAGCTAGGAACTAAAATAGGGTGCACCGGTTGTATCGAACAAGATAAAGAGCAGCAATCCAATGGCAAAAGTTAAAACTAAATTGTATTACAGCAATAATAGTTATAATAATGAGGAGTATTTTGCAGGGTAAAGGTCTCTAAGACCTTACAAGGCTATGCTAGCTTAGAATCGTCATATTTAATATTTGTCCTTTTCATCTTAATGTTCTCATTTTCAGCCGGCAAAGATCACTAGTGAGACGGACCTGCATTTTCACTCTCATGTCTGATTGTCGATTGAATATCCCTCCCAAGTATAATAATAGTCGTAAATGAAACTTCATAGAAATGTAAAGTAGTATTGAGAGTAGAAACCCAAAGCTTGTGACGAGAGAATCATGCTTGTGTTCACAATAATGGTAAATGTATAACACCCACATACCGATGCGAGTGACCCAATTCGATCCGTGCTATCACATTAGGGTCATCGGAGCGATCCACGATAAAAATCCGGGAAAATTTAAAATTTATGTTAAAATGCGTAAAATCTTAAAACAATTTATAAATAATACAAATTCAAAAAAAAACCATTCATATGTTATAAACAAGATTAAAATCGTATAAGTTTCAAACTCATATATAAAAACAAAATACAACTTACATGCCCCCTAATCACATGCACCGTACTCTGCAAGCAACGCCGGTGGAACTCCTTTACTGATGTCAATAGTTGCATTGGTTTGATTCTTTTAACCTGAAATGGGGAGTAAAAGAGTGAACTTTGGGAAGCTCAGTAATACAGAACTTGTAACATCCCAAACTATGGGTTAGTGATCAAATTGTAAAGTTTTAGAATTTGGTGACTAAAGTAGAAGAATGGATTAGTTCAGTGATTTATTTGGAAGTATTTCCTAAAAGTTGTTAGTAATTATTAAAGGAACTAAAGGGTAAAATGGTCATTTGATCATTTAAGGAATTAAAAAATGTGATAGTGGGGATATATATTTTACACGTGGGAAATGAGGGAAATGAGTTTCCAGAGTTTTCTTCTTCTCCTTTCTTCTTCACGCGTGGAAGCCAAGAGCAAAGGTGAGAATTTTTATTAGTTGATTATTATGTGAATTCTAAGTTGGTTTTGATTCTTTGGAAAGTAAGAAAGCTTAAAGAAGTCTAAAGATAAGTGGAAA